TTAGATATTTCGTTATTACAAAAGGGCAGTTTCCTTAATACATCATTGCATTGAAATATCCTTTTTTATTACTATTTTTGATGATCATGGGTGTTTTTTAATCACTATCATGAGATTCATCACCCATTAGGGTTGTAGTGGTACCACATGTACTGCAGTTGTAGTGGTGTTTCCTGGGTAAAATAGCCAAACAGAGCCCAACCTCTCTGGGCTGGTTTTTAATTCAGAGCTTTTCCTTCACCTAGACTGGTTAGCACTCAAGGTTATAGGATCCAGTTTGTCTTGCTATTTATCCATAGCTTTTTAGAAAAGATGAATTCATACATTGCTCATAAGTGAATGTTATGAATTCGAATGGAATTCAAACTCAACTCTCTGATTGCTCAATTTGAGCAATCAGAGAGAGAAATCCATTAATCCATTGTGCTTCCATCATAAAGAGTTTTTGATAGCGATTTACTCAGTGTAGCTTAGATGTGGCACAAAGTCAAAATTGATGTCTGAGAGGTCTAAAGCACGTTGGATCTACCGACAATTCCCCCAGCCCAGGGAGACAGTTTTTAATAGTAAATTTATATTATCTTTTATTAAAGATTAATTATTTTACTATTTTTTAATTTATTATTATTGTATTTACATAATTTATATTTTGTTTTATGTAATATTTGGTTGGTCTCATTCTTACAAGAGTTGGCTATTCAAAGATTTTTTGCTCAATAATGATTTGTTTTTACTAAATCATCATTGTTTTATTTAAAAAGTATTTTATTTTTTGTCTCATTTGTATTAGATTCAGATATTTGAATCATTTTCTTGTACAGCAATGGATTCTTTTTAATAAATTGATTATTAATAATAAATATTTTAGTTTATTTCTTTTATTCATCAATCGTAGTGAAATGATGGTTGAAATTCAGAACACTGTCTAAATTTGTATACGGAACAGAAGTCACAAACTGAGTCTTATCCACTGGGCAAAGTAAATAGTTTAAATGATTACACTACCTCATCTCAGATCTGTCTATGTTTCTTAGATGAGGTAATGCAATTATTTACACTGTTTACATTGTTAAGACTGTTGTCCTCATCTTTCTTGTCATATTCACAACATTTTGGGCATTATACACTCCAGCCTTCTTCAGGTGATTGGAATTTCTAACAACCCTTTATTTTATCCACAGGAGTAGATTGTTCCAGTTCCACAATGCCATGCCTCTTCCCGATATCTCAGTATCAGTTGTCTCCCTTTAACTCCATATACCATCAGGACAACCTTCAAAAATGATTCAATACTTTGCAGATAACTTATCTGAGTAAGACCTCTCATAGAGAACACGATTAAGGACTGTGTGTACACTATCACATGCAGCTGTGATGAGAAATATCAAGGAGAAACAGGACATCCCCCTTAAGATAAGACTGCAGGAATACCATAAATCTGTAACACGAGGGGAAATGGAAACATCAGATGTAGCTAAGCATGTATGGAGAGAAAAGGGAGATCACCACCCCCTGTGGGATCAGGTTGAAATAATAGCAAACATCACTGGAAAATACAAAAACTCTGTATGTGCTAGGCCACAATAATCTCCTAAGTTGGCCAAGCATAGAAATGAATTCAATATGGGAACCAGTAAAGTAGACTGATAGAGAAAACAAACAACAAAATAACAACAAAATTGCAACAATAGCTCTGGTAAAAAATGGTACAATGATGTCCTCAAGGAGACATGGCCTAGTGGATAAAAGTTGAATCCAATGACTTAACCCAAAGAGTTGTGGGTTCAATACCTGGCTACAGATAAGGTAAATATAAAACTTGATTTAAAGGGAGATAACTGATACTAAGACATCCAGAAAGGCATGGCATATAGAACTATAAAAATCTACCCTGGTGGACAAAATAAAGGGTTCAGTTTGAAATTCCAATCACCTGAAGAAGGCAGGCGTGTACAATGACCAAAATGTGAATATGGCAACAAAGATGAGGACAACAGTCCAAACAATGTAAATAGGGTAAATAATTACAATACCTCATCTCAGAAATATAGACAGATTTCAAACAAGATATGGAAAATATGGAAAAGTAGATCTACAAAAATCAACTGACAACTTGCTATCTATTTAAATGTATAACTTTTCTCTTTATATAACACATGTCTATTTCTTTTATTTATCTATACTTTTGCAGTTTATTTAAAGCCAAAAAATATTTTTCGATTGTAAGAATTTTTTTTGACATGATAATGGTTTAGTGATACAAATCTTACTAATTAACCCATAGCTGGGGGATAAGAGGTGGATTCATACCTTTCTCAAGGTATTTGCTTGTAAGTGAATATAACAAACTCAATGGGAATTGGAATTTGCCTCTCCAATGAACAATTCTGAGCCATTATCCATTAAACTACTCACACATTCTAGCTTACAGCACCTGATATTTCCAAGCAGTCACCATCTAGGTACTGACAAGGCTCAGCATTGCTTAACTTCAGTGATCATACAGGAACCAGTGTTTCAATGTGATAAGCCATGTCCATTTCTATAAACATTTTAAATAATAGTTTGTTTTGGTTTGTTTAACAGCCTATCAATTCCTTATGGGTCATTTAATGTCAAAATTTAGTTTCCTTGGGAGCTTTGGTAATTTTTTTTTACTATTGAAATATCTTGCTGGAATTTTTACTATATAAAAATGTGTTTTTATATTTTCATAGTATTTTGACCCCCATTTCAGGGGTTCACTACTTGCACATAGCTGGGACCCTAACAGGTGCTACAACCCTAGGTTAGGGTGGACCTGGGAACAACCACAATTAAGAGGTTGTTCCAGGCTCCTTAAAACCGCCAATCTCCCAATCAGAGGTCTTCATGCTGGATATAGTTTATCGTCATACCCAGGACAGTTTTAAATAATAAGATTGTTTACTATGAAAAATAGATCCACAAAAATCAACTTTCACACATCTTTACCCAGAAAACTTATAAACATGTAAATAAATTACAGTTCTGAATTTCACTGTATTATACACTAGATATGGTTATAAAAGCGACGTTAAAAACAACAAATTATTGCTGGTGAAGGAGGCATGGTGGAGTAATGGATAGCAACTTGGATTGAGAAATTGGAGAGCCGAATTTGAATTTCAGTTGAATCCATTACATTCTCTTACGTGCTAATACCCTTGGGAGAGGTATGAATCCTCCCTCCTATCTATGGGTAAATAGCAGGACAAACTGGGTTCTATAGCCTTGGATGACAACTGGTTTACCACAGAAAGAAATGGCAACCTACTGCAGGAAAAAAAATCTGCCTCGTCAGTCATGATTGCCTAAGTGTGTATCACGCATGGCACATAACTGACTGATTGCTGGTGAAGCAGAAAGGAAATGAGACAAGATATGTTAAAATTATTTGTATTTCCAGTATAATGGATCAGAATAGAATGTCTTTTTTGTGGGTGAGAAAAGTGACCTGGAAGATGGGAGATTTGGTTGTGTAGAAGCTTGTGTCAGGTTAGTTGACCAAGAAGCTACCAGTGAAGTCTGTGAACTGCCTGTGTACTGTGTTGAGTGTTTCCAAGTAGGTCATTTTAAGCTGAGAAGGTGGATACATGACTCAACAATTTTTGTCATGCTTTTGCTTTGGCAGTAATATTTGGGATTAACTTGAACATTTAAATTTTATTTTATATTTTTGGAGGATTTATTTTGTGGGTTGTATGTGATGCATGGAGACCCTGCACAGAGAATGAATTCTTTTTTTTTATTTTGGTTTTCGTAGCATTCACATCCAGCTGTCATCCTGAGTATGACGATAAACTACATCCACATCCTGGGTAAGACAATAAACTATGTCCAACAGCAAAGCCTTTGATCAGGAGGTTTTGAGGAGCATGGAACCACGTTTTAATTGCTGGTGTTGCCAGGTCCACCCTAAACTGGGGTGGTAGCACCTGTTAGGGTCCAAGCTATGGGCAAATAGTTACCCTTAACTGAGGTCAAAACACTATGAAAGTGTAAAAATAGGTTTTAATACCAGCAATACATTTTTGAGAAAAAAAAAATATTACCAGCAATACATATTTGAAGGAAAAATATAACCAGAAATAGAGTTTTTCAAGGAAAAAATATTACCATTAATAAAAATTTTGTCAGCATTAAATAAATTAATTAAATATATTAATTAAATAAATAAATTAAGTAAATATATTAATTAAACATGTTTTGCAGCATATCAACCTCAGTGGTTGATATGCTTCAAAACAAACCAAACCAAATCAAACCAATCACATGCAGCTGACAGGTTTTGGTATGGAGTGAATCAGAAAGAGGTTTAATTTAACAAGTATTGAATATTTTTTCTTATTATATTAATTGTGACTATGAATAATTACTGACAACACTATGCATAAATTGGTAACAGTATTAATTTTTTGCTCCCCTTAATTGAAAGACACAAGTAAAATGGTCGTCTCCCTGTAGCCCTCCACCAAGTACCTAACTACTTATGCTATCCTCTACCTTTATAAGAGCCAGATCAAACTGAAAATGGAGTACTGTTGCCATATTTGGGCAGAAGCTGGCCAGTCCTCACTTTCCGGTATTGATGGTGTTCAAAAGCGTCTCCAAGTCCTTGTTGGAAAAGAATTATTTTCCACTCTCCAACTCTCTTTGGGATGTGGTGAGCCTCTCACTGCTTTATTGCAGTGATTGGACGAATTTCATTTCTTGGTCTAACCTTCATGGCTATGACTCGCCATGCCACCTACATTGTAGCAAACCAACTACATTCCCTTTTTACTCTATCTGTTAAAATTAAGTTCCACATGAACAGTTTCTTCTCATGAACCACTACAATCTTAACCACAAATTAATAAAACCACAAGAAATTTTTATATCAGAATTTTTGTCCTCAATAAATTAAAGGAATTTTTTACCCAATTAGATTGTGTTCATTTTTGCTTCTTATTTACATCTTATCCATCATGTAATGTTGCTTATGGCCATATCACATGAAAACACTGGTTCCCATACAATCACTAAAGTTAAGTAACATCAAGCTTGGTCAATACCTACATGGGTGACCACTTGGGAATACCAAATGCTGTAAGCTTGGATGTGCAATTTGGTTGCTTGCTTCATTTTCTATGGTTTATCAACCCTTTGCAGATTATTTAAAGCCAGAAAATATTTTTAAATTGTAAGAATTTTTTTTTTTGACATAATAATGATTTAGTGATACAAGTCCTACTAATTAATCCATAGATGGGAGGAGAAGAGATGGATTCATACATTTCTCAAAGTTATTTGCATGTAATTGGATATAACAAACCTTACTGGAATTGGAATTTGGTTTTCTCCGATTACCAAATACAAGCCATTATCTATTACACCACCTGAACATCCAAGCTTAGAACACCAAGTGATCACCCATCTAGGTACTGACCAAGCTCAATATTGCTTAACTTTGGTTATTGTATGAGAAGGGATGTGTGAGTGATGTAATGGATAATGATTCTGAGATGTCAATCGGAGAGCTGAGTTCCAATTCCAGTTGGGTTTATTATATTTACTTACATGCAAAGGTATGAATTCACCTCTTCTTCTCCCATGGGTTAATTGGTAAGACTTGTATCACTAAATTATTATCTTCCACCAAAAATTCTTACAATCTAATCTTTCTGGCTTTAAACAATCAGCAAAAGGGTTAAGTTGTAGAAAACAGATCAAGCAATCAATGAAATCATCATCATATTATTATGATCATCATCATCTTTTGCTTTCTATTTAGTACAATCTGTTATCAGTTCATTACCCAAGATCTAAGATAAGGCAAAGTAATAAATATATACATTCTGTTTGTACAGATTCTGATGTTAAGTGATATGTAACATGTACAGTGTTTATATTTTTCTTACATTGAAAATACTCCCCTGAATCATTGAGCTACCCAAATTGTTACCCAGATAAATATATACATGATGAAAGCCAGTGGGTACATAATAGCTGTAACATAGGGATAACAACAACAAAGATGAGGACAATAGTCCCAGTGTAAATAATAATGTATCTTGTTAATAATTTTTAGTAAAAAGGGATTTTCCTTTTGTATCAGTAAAATACAATTCTTGAATTTTAAAAAACTCAAGAAAATAACCATCAATTAATACCTAATACCGACAAATTTATTTATTCAACTTTAAATTGACACTGGTTCAGAACCAACTGTTTTCTTAAAAAAAAAAAATAATAAGATTTGATCCAATAAATAAACAGACATTTTGAAAACATTTCACCGTCTTAAGAAGTACTATTGAAGATATATTGTGAATATACAATGTGCCCCCCCCCACACACACTTCTGCTTTTCACCAACCAGATACATAAAACCTTCCATTTGCATCTCTATTTTCATTTATAGGCAAATGGTATATAAATTTCTATATATCAGAACAATGTTAGACAAATGATTGACAAAGTGGAAAAAAATTTTGTGCAATGCATTTTGTCCTCTAGAAAGACTTCATCAAACTAAAGTAATATTTTTGTTGATAGAATTATATAATGCATAGGAGTGTAAGGGAGAGATATAAAAAAGTGAGGATACTGAGAGGAAACACTGAAGATGTGGGAATGCTGAAATTTAAAATTTAAAATTTTTTTTCTCTCCCAGACTTTGTTTTGATAGTAAATTTTTTCTCCAGACTTTGTTTTGACAGTAAATATGCGTTCAAGTTCGACATTTGATGTTGCTAAATCTTCTGTTATCACGATGTAGGATATTTAATAATAAAAGTAGTAATACTGATAGGTTTTTAATGTAGTGTCTCACTGGAACCCACAGGTGGTGATTTGAGCAGATCCCTGGGAAATTCAATGGGTCGCAACTAAAGTTTCTTAATAAATAGTTGTGTCAAACTGGAGGTGCTACAGATGAAGTTTTTTTTTTTTTTTACCATTATCCCAAAAAACAATTTAAATCATACCAACTCACTTGACAGATTGACAGAACAACTTTGGTTTGTTTGGTTTTTTTTGCTTAAATTAATAAATTGAATACAAAAACAATATTTGCACTTAATCACAATTAAATAAAAGTATTTTTTGAGAATTATCAAAACAAAGTTTTTAATTAAATTAATAAAATTGTCGGAGTTACCTCCTTCTTCAATCCTTAAACCGGCAGAGGAACAGGTCATCTCGACCTTGACCTCTCGGTTGTGCTCTCTACATGCTGTTAACCCGAGGTAGAGACTAGCAAGTTAACTTTTCAGTTGTTATATTACAAACATAGTTGTAATATACTTCTAGACATTTTTAGGCCTTAGTTCCCTTTAGCTAATCTCGACTTATTTTTTTATAGAGACTTTACTGTTTAGCTTACCCAATTCTCTTGCTGGTCTCCCTTACCACAAGAGAGTGACTTCTCACTAAATTTACGGGTGGCGACTGAAACAGTCGGATACGCAGGCTCCTGGCCTTCGTTGGCCAGGATGTCGATCACCGGGCTGCATATTAAGTTCCGCTCCCTTTTTTTTTTTTGTCTGCCAACTTGATGATAGTTGGAAACTTTCCTTTCTCTCTCTCCTTCGCCTACTACTCCTGGCTTCTTGGCCCTGTTCGACGCTCAGCATTCTGTCCCCTCTGGCTGCCTGCACGTCGTCCATAAACTTTCCCGTACACCTTTGTAATTATTACGGGAGGTTACTAATATCGGACTACTCTACTGTTCCGACCACCTTTATTTCTTCATTTCTTTTCTAGAATAAATTAGCACATATCCTTTATATCCTCGTTCTGTTTTTAGAACTACTTTTTAGAATCCTGACCAAACAAGGTTTGTAAATGACAGAACAAGAGATGTTTGTTTATTTATTTTCAATTGCATCAATAAATTTAAAATAAAAACAGTATTTACACTTAATCACAGTTCAACTAAGAAACATTATATTTTGAGAATTATGACAGGAAAAGTGTTTTTGTTTTTTTTTTAGTTGACAGTTTTTTAATAATTACAAAAAATCAATACAAAAACAGTTCAATTAAGAAACAATATCTTTTAAGAATTATGACAGAAGAAAGTTTTTACATTGACAGAACAAAAGATTTTTTTTTTCAATTGATTCAATAAATTCAAAACAATAACAGTATTTACAACTAAATCACAGTTCATCATCTAATGAATTTAAGTATGCGATAAGATTGGCTGTTCCTGAGTATGGAAGTTTTGAAGAGTGTAAAACCACATCTTAACTACTGTTGTTTCTAGGTCCACTCTGATCCATGGTGGCAGCACCTGTTAGGGTCCCAACTATAGACAAATAGTGAACCCTCAAACAAAAGTCAACAGTACATTTTTATGATAAAAAGTGCAACAATACATTTTTATAGCAAAATGACAATGCAACATTAAAAAATATAAAAATACATTTTTATAGAACAATTACCAATAATACATTTTATGATCAACGAACTATATATCTAAAAAAACATACCTTTACCCTGGAAATATAAAATTATGTACAAAATATCTGTAGTTGAAAGCATAAAATTATGTACAAAGTATTTAGATTTTAGTATTAAATAACCCATAGATGTTGATATGCTGCTAAACAAAATCAACCAACCAACATTATTATATTTATAATGAAATTACTAATACTACCTAGTTAAATTAAAATGACCAACAATAAATTTTATCTATAGTTGAAGACATACATTTGCATTCAAAATATATTTAGTTGCAGCTATAAAATTGTGATCAAAATATTTAGATTTCAGCATTATATAACCCAGTGTTTAATATGCTGCTAAACAAAATCAACCAAGCAACTAGACTGGCAATTAGGTCTCATCATTTTACTTTTGGAATTAGCTAGATCTTACTGTAGCTTCTATTCTTGTACTTGTGGAATTCACTTCTGATTTCTTGCTTCCTTGCCACATATAATCTTCAAAGGTTTAAAAGCAACATCAATTGCAATCTTTTGATATCTTGAACCCTATTCTTTTATTGCCCTTTCTCCATACTCAATTCTCATTGTCTTTCACTTCTAGGAACCCATTGTATCTTAGTAGCATTTTCATTTTGCTTGAGATGAAATGATTACAAAGAACATATTTTTCTTCACAGTTGATGCATGCAAAATTTAATAAAACATTATTTTCTTTCAAATTTGATAAGGGAAATGAATATTTACGTTTTAAGAATTGACTTGTAAGTTTTTAATGCAATTTTGAAATTCTTTTGTTTGCTAATAACAAAAGAGACCTTTTTTTATTAAATAAAAATGTTTGAAGATTCAAAAAATATAAACTTTGATACCATATTCATATCAGAAATATTTTTAAATAATTTTAATTATTTTCACAACAGATCATTTTTGTATGGAAGATCAAGTAATGAATAATTCACCAGTTCTGAATTAGCACCCTATTGGTTATATAAGGTTAAGAATAATTATATATGATGTCTGGAGGCCTCCATAATATTTTATGACATTGAGAGCTGAAAGAAAGCAAAGGATGTGCATTGTGGTAGAATGGATAATTGATCAAAACTAGAAATTGGAGAGCCAAGTTTGAATTCCAGTTGGGTTCATTACATTCACTTATGCAGAAATACTCTTGGGAAAGTTATGAATCCATCTCTAATTTCCCCTCTCCCCAACCAGCTATGAGTTGAATAGCAAGACAGACTGAACTTTGGTTAACAACTGGTCTACTGCAGAAAGAAACGGCAAACTACTGCAGGAGATTCTTCTGCCTCATTAGTCATGAATCAAAACATACAAAATCTCTATCATGTAATCACTTGACTGATCAGTCTTTATCAGTTTTCCCCAATCTTTTTATCTTTTGTGAAATAAACTTGTTGCAGAATTTATGCTAAGTAACATGTGGCAGAAGGTGAAATTGTGTGAAGGCGTAAAATGTGCATGTACATGATGCATTTATCCACAACAAATAAATTAAATGAACATATGAAGACAATACAACTTGAAGAAATCAAAGAAAAAAATAACGTAGTTATAGATTTCAACAATAACATTAATTTATATATATATATATATATATATATATATATATTTGACATACACAAAGTGATGAT